TGTCAAATCGCTGCAAGAAGCCTTGCACTGTGTTTGTCCAGCAAGGTGCACTCAATTGTCCTCTCGTCCAGCGCGCGAGCGGAACTTGCAGAATCGCCGCTTCAGACCAATCACGCAGCAACGATTCCCAGCCTCGCAAAGTGTGAAAGCGGCATCTCCACAGGCTCGTCGCATTCATGATAAGCGCGGAAGCGGGAGCCACTAAGCCGTGTGCTCTGAAAGAAAACACATCGATCAATTGAAACTTGCTGGGCGGCAAACGGAGGACTTTGTGCAGAGCGAATTGATCTTTGTGCAAGACAACGATTGGCAATGGATAGAACTGCGCAAGATAACTGAGCGTCGAGAGGGCAGTGCTGTTGCACAGAAGCAAGCTGGCACTCGATGGCGCGGTCGATCGTGGAACGTCGCAAGTCCGACTCCACCATTTACGAATGGCCTCTGCCCAAACTCCGCTGCTCCCTGTGGCCGCAGGTCCAAATTGCATTCTGAGATGCTTAGCCTGGCCAGAAATCTTGCAACCGCGCCATTCGGGAATGTTTGACTCTAAAAATGAGCGAATGCCATGGTCAACGTCTGGCGTGACCTCCGCCCGGAGGAAAACAACTGCAGTCTTGCTGGGCTGGGGCCTCAATTCTGCTAGCTCCTCGACGCTTTTGAAGACAGGAAAGGCACGCGTTAACTCTGACAGGCAATGCTGCACAAGCCCCGTGTCACCAGCGCATCCTCTGACCACCCCCCGCGGAGACGACGACGACACCTCCGCCGCCAGATGGGTTAAAATCGGGTCCATAGCGACGGCTCACGCCGAGCCTGAAAGTGGGCATCCTTGCATCGCGCCCGACCGCGCATGGGCCATCAATTTCATTTCGCCCCGAAGCATAGCAAAGCTGCGGGGATCAAAGTACAGCGAGGCCAGCAACTTCACATATCCAGGAGGCACGCCAAATCGTGAGAGAACCTCCCGCAGCCAATCGTTGCCAAGGCGATGTCAACGCAGCGGCTATATCGAACGCAACACAGACAGGCGCCTGAGCTTCGGCTGTCTCGCTTATGCTAGCCGGTCGGGCGGCCATGTCTAGCCGGGGCAAATTGTGAAGACAATTCCCGCCAGGGGTGAATCCTTGCTGGACTTGGCGCGTGCGCGTTCGGACCAGTCCTGTGAGCTTCTGATTGGCCGCTGAAGCTAAGATCTCAGAACCCGTGTTGCGCAGCGAGAGAGGGCGAATCTGATCAGGGTTACGCAGGCACGCGTAAGCATCGCTGGGCTCACTTCCTTTGGGCAAGAACGCGAAGATGGAGTCATTCAGGGCCTCTGGTGCGCGGTGGCCCGCCATGAGGCGCTGCGAGAGGCCGTGCAGGACTGCGATCTGGCCCTCCGGGACCATCCGAGCCTTGTAGGGGGGCCTATCGGGGCCAGGAGCACTGTGACGTACATGTCTGAACGTGTTCTGAAGGTCCGTGATGCTGGGCATGGCTAGGTCGGCCATCTCGTAGGCCGGGTAGTGTCGCTCCAAGCGTTGTTTGATTTCCAGTTGGTTGGTGGCGCCCGAAAGACTGCTGACCAGTGACGCCGAAGGGCCTCCAATGCACTGCTGGGATCTCTGGCGGTTGCCGACTGGGAGGACTCGAGGGCATGTTCAGGACTGACCCCTGCTAGAACGCGACGACGGCCTCGGGGTCTCCATAGCATGGCACGGCGGCGAATAGCCTTGATGGGTTTGAAGTGGCATGCAGCCACCTGCTGTTGACCACCTCGTAGGGCACGTTGAGCTGCTTGCGCTGCAAATTCGTGGGTGGCCTGGAGCTCAGCAGGATGTGGGGGTCGAAATTGACGGCGAAAAACGTGTGGCCCCGTGAGCTGAAACGGCCCATCTCGATGCCGAAGGTACTTGGCGCCCTCGTCTGATCTGGCGATGCCGAGCGCCGCGGGCTTCGTATCTTGTCTCCAGACTGCGCGCGGTGTGTTACGCAGCGCGATGTTGCGTCCCCCTTCTGGCACGCTTGTCACCTGCACGAGAGGGAACCCGTGGAAATTCGTCTCGAATTTGTTCAGCCGCTTCAATCATTATATCCTTCAGATGCTGCCATCTGGCAACAAGAAGGACCAGTTCCGCCGCATCCAGAAGCTTTGCCAGCATAGCCTTATACCTTACATCGCCGAACGCCACATTTGGGATGCAATGGTCCGCGGCGTCTCCTGGTGCCTTGAATTTGAGGTTGAGCGGCGGCACGGAGTGGTCGCTGGGCCTCCCCTGCGGCATCTCGCGCGGGTCGGAATCCACAGTCAGGAAGACGTCCGCGTCGAGGGAGAAGTGCTCGGGCATGGCAAGAAAGGCCCTGTCAATGGCGGAGGCGGTATATTGTTGGCGACTGAAGTGGGTTGGGACGTCGGCCCGCACCTCCTGTGCTAGATCAAAGAGAACACGCCAAAAAACCGCATTCGGCTGGAATGTCCGCGCGGTCGGTAATGGCGTTCGCAATGGGGTCGGCTCATCGTAACTGAGAGGCTCTCCATCACGAATGTTGAAACCACCCGTGGCAATGCGCGTGCGGTGATGGGGCCACCATGCTCCCATTCTACCGCATCCTCCCAAGCATTGGCAACGAGCTGTTTGAAACTGGGAGCACTACCATAGTTGTGTACATTCATGACCAACGCAGACTAGTGGCCATCAGCGGGGTCGATGCGAAGCGCAGCAATCCGCCCAGGAACTAGGGCATGACATTGAAGTTGAGGGCGTTGTGCTGGCAATGCATCGCGATCCCATGGCAGGAGGAACGCAACTCCTCCTTTCCTTGCCTGCGTCGCCTGCGACTGCCACGCACGATGAGGAAAGGGGGAGGGCGCTATGAGCACTTCAAGTTGTTGTCGGACACCGTGCGTTTCTTGAGACGCAGCAGCTTCTTTTCCCTTCGACGCGCATTGTGGCAACAGAGACCCTTGGCACTCCAAGACACCAATTGCCCTGATCTTGAATCAACACTGCACTTGTTGATACGCCGCGGGGCCCACCCACCGTTAAATAGACCGCAGCGAGGTGTCGGTGGCGCGAAATATGCGTTGGAATGTGTCATTAATGCTTTGTTTGTCAATCCCAAGTCTGGCAATAGCTGCGCCGTCCCATCTGAGTTGTGTGGCAGCGGAGGTGTTGTCCCCGACCTCCACGCTGACGACCGGGGTGGCGTTGCAGGAGACGAGCCCGTCGTTGCCCACCTTCCTGAAGAATTGTCCCTCATGCCGTTCTCCAAGTATTTGAACGAGCTTCTTCGTCTGGGTTTCACGCCGTAATGTTTTGGGGCTATTGTCCGCGTCGATGTAGAGCGTTGCAGGAGAAATGCCTCCATCTGCCCTCTTGGCGGGGGTTCCTCGCCGGGAAACGCTGCGAGAGGACGCTGCAGCGCCGCCCAGGGCCCGTGAGTATCATCGCCTGGATGGCACGTCACCGACCAGCCCCACGTCCGAAATGGGCACACCAGCCGCAGTGATTCATGGTTCCAGAGCCCTACGGACCTCTGATGGCTGCACTGCTGTCGCTGCACCGATGGAATAGAGGCGAGGGTCTGGTGGGCGATCCCAGACTGCCAGCGCTGCCAATGTCGAGCGGTGGGAGGGTCGCCTCTACCATAGCGAGGCTGGCCTGGGTACGCTCGACGTCGGCGCGCAGCTGCTGCTGCTCCTGCCCGACAGCACGGGCTTTCTGATTGATGTCCCTGGCCGCGAAATCCAATGTGTCCAGCCGCGAATCATGCTGGCGAGCTTGACCGAAGACTGCTTGAAATTCATTATGCAGAGTGGACGTGGCCGACTGCAGGATAGAGGTGGTCTCTGCCTGGAGTCTCGATGTGGCCAGCTGCATCTGTTCGGTGAAGATGGTCGTGAGCCTGGCCTCCAGCGCCAGGCCTGCCCCAACGCCATGTCCGCTATCACATTGCTGAGTATGTGGCGTGGGTGGCCCATCGACTGGAGTAGCACTCGCATTTGCCCATGGATCTCGTTCACGAAGCGGGTCAGCACGGGGCCTCCCAGCATCTGGGGATGTGGGAAGGTCGTCGGCTCCGTCCATGAGCTGACAAACTTCTGCTGCTTGTCGCTGCTGCCGCTGAAGTTGGTGTCTAGATGCGCCTCCACCCGAGCTGCCTGGCGGACGAACACCTCTGTCACGTCCTCCCCGTTCTCGGTGCCGAGCTGGCGGTTCCTTTGGCGCGCGGCCGTCGATCGCGACGCTGTTCTCTGCTGGCTGCGGGAATGGTGGACACCGCTCGACCGCTGCGTGATCCACTGTGTGTTCCGTGGCGACGATGATGCGAGCGATGTTGTCGGGGAGCGCTGGAATTGGATGAACTGGAACCTGAGCCGCTATCAGAAGCCATTCGGTAGACAAGTGGTGTCGCCGTGGGGATTCGATGAGGCGCGCTGTCTCTGTCCGAAGCGCAGCGCAGGAGAGATGGAGTGCTGAGATTGCTATGATATGGACGGCGAGACTTCGCAATGGGTGGCAGCTCACTCCTGATTGGTGCTGCAACGCATGAGCACGAGACTCTGGATGAATGGGTGGGAGCCTACCCCGCTTAGGCAATTAATGAATCTTGCTACGGGTGATGATGCTGGTGATGATGATGATGGTGATGAGGAGGAGGAAGAGGTGGAGGTGGATGAGGAGGAGGAGGCGGAGCACAGGAGCAGGAATGGGGGAGCGAGGAACTCATCAAGCGATGAGCTCAATTGCGTCGACGACGATCGACTTGTCAGGCGTGGGCGGGTGAGCCCCGACTCGGTCAGCGTACTCGCTCCGCGTGCGGGTGACCCGCTCCAGGGCAAGCTGGGCAAGCTGGGATAGTCACATCAATGAGACGAATGTGAAGCTGGAGCGAGGAAAAGGCGGGGGAGGGTAGGCAGCAGGATGGGGGAGGGAGGGGACCAGAGAGGGAGGGGGAGAACGCAGACGAGGGAGATGGGAGGCTGGAGGGGGAGGAGGGAGATACTTCAGGATGCCCGCCTGGGTGAGGCTCCTGGCGACGCTCTCGGTCTCCTTCCGGGAAAGCGTGTACCTGGCCGGGCGCGGGGCAACACCAGACGTCTCGCGGGCTCGTCCCCTCTTGCTGGTTCAGCCAACGGGAGCAATGCTGTGATCACCCCGGGCATGCGCCCAAGACTAAGACCCGATCTTCACAGTAAACTGGAACGGCGGCCCGATCAACCTGTGATTGTCGAGTCCGCACGCAAAAGCCAACTGCAGGGAAAACTGAAAAGAAGGTTCGTAGGCTTGTCCTCTCCGTGCAAGTGGAAACTCAGCACGATCAAATGAGCAGTGCCTTCAGACCACAAGCTTCAGGGGAATGCGTTTTCCCACCTACATGTTATTTGGGGTCGACTTGTTAGAAGAATTCGATGGACCTCGCGAGGAGGAGGAGGGGGATAGATGGGAGAGGAGGACAAAGGATCATGAAGATAGAAGAGAGGTAAGGGAACGTCGGGAGGTTTACATCCTCATTCTCCTCCTCCTCCTCATTCTCCTACTCCTCCTCCTCCTCCTCCTCGTTCTTCTCCTCCCGTTCGCCTCCTCGCACTCTGTGTCCTCTTCCTTCTCCTTCGGAAGCTCCGTGCGCGAGCTGCCCGCAATTTCCCAGTTCCCATCTCTGGTCCTGCCCTTGTGGCGGAAGAAGCGGAAGGGCTCCCCTCTTCATGCTCGTTACAGCTCTTTCTGCGTACGGGACCTGGCGCGGCAGCCCACGCACGGCCCGCCGCGCCCCCCGATCTTGCAGTCGTGCGTGTTGATTTGTTTCCGCAAGCTGTTCATTCTACACGGACGGCTTCGCGGTGTGCAGTCTCACAGGCCTGCGGGGAGCTGGTTGTCTACACCGCCACCGCCACCAACGCGTGCTCAGCAGCCAGCAGGGTGTTCACCAACTGCAGCAGAGGGGTCATCATGAGTGCCGCTGTCGGGCGGCGACGTGTTTCTTCTTCCCCCTGTGCCGCTGGACCCTGCTCTACTACTTTCAGAAGTTCTGCCAGTTCCAGTTCCTCGGAACGACTCGAGACCGCAGGCGTGGCCGAGCACGACTCCGTTGGCTCCTTCACCTGGGCAGCTTGTTTTCTGTTCTCCAGGACGTGACGAAAAGTGTACACTGGAACAGCGCGCGCAGCAATCTAACCGCCAGCTCAATCGATGGGACGGGTTCAGCCAGATGGGTAAACCGGTTCATCAGAAACACTATGATGCTGGCCGGGTGAGGGTCATGCGTTATGCGCCGGGCCCTATTGTGGGCCTGCCCAGATACCCACCCCTTGTTTTCCCCGCGGGGCCCCCTCAGTCGCGCTCCCGCTTCCCTCGGCGTTCATTCGGTGATTTGGCGAATCATCTTCGTCGAAAGGGTGAGCTTCCACTTCCATCAGGAAGACGATCCGCCGCCTTATTATCCTCGTTCGATGTGCTCACGTGGAAAGGGAGTGGGCAAAAGCTTGTCCCCGCCCCCTCATCGGAAAGGCCTCTCTGGGCATTGCTCGGACGTCCATTCCCTGTGTTTTTTTCGGTCTCGTGCGTGGTTTTTTCGCCAAATGATCAAGGATGCTCCTCGATGGTCCTCGCCGAGGGAAAAAATGCACACGTCCGGGCGATGCAAAGCTTTCCCCTGGCAGACAGGAGGTGAATGAAACGCATTTCGTCAGGCCCTTCTGGCTGATCTTGCCTTTGTCACTGCGTGCGGACATGCGACGCTTCAGCAAGACTCCAAACTCTGTTAGTCGACAGGCGAAAAGTGGGCGCCGGAAGGGCAAGCCCTCTGCGATGGATGTATCAACTATTGCGCCGCCTATCTGTGGGTTGCGCTGACACATGTGTGGCCTGTTATTAGAAGCTACAGAGTTACCATTGCCTACCTGTAGCTACGCTAAAACATCGTTGCCATTGCCTGCAGTGCAAGCCATCAGATCTGCAACAATGCGTTTATTGTGCCCAGCGAACGGTTGATGGCCTTTGGAGAGGAGCTAGGCTATGCAAGCATGGCATCTGTTCTTTGCTTATGTAAAGAAGTCTGGGCTTCCCACCCCCTACTTACTAAACAGGAGTTGTGGACCCCGTGGTCCGGTAATTGTCCCACTAAGTTTCCACATGTATTTAAGGAGTTGCTTGGTCAAGGACAGGGGTCGGGGGCAGCCTCAGCCAATTGAGCTTACAAGTGCATTTGCTTGGCGTGGCCTTCATGCTCCTTTCCCTTATCCTCGCTCTCCACCTATTCGCCCTCGCATTCGCTCTCTGTTCGCTCTCCCTCTCAATGTTCCAAGCAACCGGTGTGGGGCAATGACTACCGCGTCGGATTTGGTCTTCGGACGTTTCTGTTTCTCACTGCGTATCCAGTTAAGGGGCAGCATCTTCGCTCTCTCTCCCTTCGGGCCCTCACTTCGTCAGTCTGCATATTTTCATGCTCTCCTCTCTGGATTCGTTGTTCCTGTTGCCATTCTCCCCACGTGATTTTGCAATGTTCTCCCCAACGGGCCGACGCCTGCTTATCCAAGTAGGGGCCTCCCCTCCCCTGAGTCTCTCTAAGCCCAACGCCGTGCTTCGCAATTCCCTGTGCCTAGTACTGTCTAGGGCTTTTGCTTTTCTTGTTCTACACAAGCTCATTCCTCATTTGACCGCCCCAAGCCAATCTTCGAGCTCACGTCCGCTTGCGTTGGCGAACGAAGTGTGTGAGGTCGTTGGCTAGCGCGGCCGCCTTGAGATGGTGGGGGTTGGAAGGAGAAAACGGCTCACTGAGTCATTAATATGTGTCCTGACTCGTTGATGTGTGGACCATATGCGATTAATTGCCTACACGTCAACTCACGCTGAGCTCCGGATGGTATGCAAAATAAGCCGTGCCTAGGACCTCAACTACATATGGATTCTTCGACCACTCTCACTCAATCATGATGGTGGGTGGGTTGATGGATAGATATATATATATATACATATATATCATGGGTGAGTGTTGCACTTCCGACCATGCTTGCCTGTCCATGTTTGTCTTTCCCTCCGTGCCTCCTCCCCCCGCCGCCACCATGCCCGCGACCGCATTCGTGGTCGGAGACGCCGTGGACGACCACATGGCCGTGCACGAGGAGGCGGGGGGAATGAGAAGCGAGGATGGCTGACCAGTAGACTCTTTGGGCACTGTTGCGGCCCCATTTTGCGCGTGTGCATCTGACCTGTGGGCCCTCCGACGCTTGTGCCCTTATCGGGCCAGCCTTGGTTGCCGTTTCCCACGGAAGCGGCACCCCGGCCGGTAGTTGCGAGCCTGACTCGCGCCTTCGAGGACGACCGAACCGAACTTCCTCCTCCTTCTCTTCCTCCTCCTTCTCCCCCTCTCGTCCCCCCACCCAGCTCCTCCTGGGGGAAAGAGAAGAGGAGTGGAAACTGTATGGGGAAACTCCTGCAGCACCCATCTCCTGCCCCTGCCCCTCCTCCCTCGACCTCCCTTCTCCGCCTCCAATTGGTTCGATTCCTGTCCTCCCTCTCTTTCTCTCTCTCTCTCTCTCTTTCTTTGTCGTTTTGTCCGTCTCTCCCTCTCCTGACCGTTTCCCCTCTCTCTCTCTCTTTTTTTGTTTCTCTCTCTCTCTCTCTCTTTCTCTCTCTCTCTCTCTCTTTCTCCCCTATCCTCTGTGAAGGGCACGACGACGGGACTGACCACAAAGTCCGCGCCACCGCTGCCCAACACGGACGCGTTTGTATCTCAGCCCCAGAAACCCTTCGTGGATAACTCTGAAAACACACCACCGTCACGCCGCTCCTCGCTACCACGCGATGGGCGGAAACATTCCTCCCAACTCCCGACCGTGTCCCTGTACGGGGCAGACCAGTACAATGCTGCGCACGTGCGTCACCAACGGCATCGACGCTGCCTCCGCATACGACGAGTCAAGTTATGACAGCACGGCCCTCTTCCACCAAATGTGGGACGCGGCAAACAAAATGGGGGAACACGCCGTATTTCATATGCGTCGGCGCCCAGAACGGCATCCGTGAATCGGCGCTCCTTATCCACACTTGTCGTTGGGATGGTCAAGCGCTGCCAAGGGTTACCCAGGCAAGCGTTCCTGCACGTACGGGCAGATCTTGACTGGAGCCGCCAATCCCTGGGCGCAGGTCGGATGCGCATTGACTACGGCGTTGCCAACAGCCAAGGAAGACAAATCGTCACTGACTTCGCCCTGCCCCGCGACTTTCCTACCAAGCATCATCTGGGATTTCTGGCCACTCTCGGCGTGGACCTGGCGCGGCAACCAGCGAGACAGATGAAAAGCGCGATGAAGTGCCCGCTGCCTTTTCTTTCAACCGATTGGATGACCAACGGACCTTAAAAAACCGTGTCGAAGAATTTACCAGGCGCACATGGATACGGCGGATCTCGCCAACGATATGGACATATTGCTCGAAGTGGCCAACCAAGCGCCTGGACGAGCTTAGCCGCGTCGCTCCACCCGACAGCGCCAGTGCAAGCCGCGCGGGGAACCAACAAGGCACGGAAAAACACCACGCTTCCAGAACGCGCCTGCCTCCCCCCCGGGTGGCCCCCACCACTGGGCAGCACGCCGCGCGATAATCACGCTCGACAAACTGCGACGGCAAGTCAAGGCTATTCCTGTGAGAGGGATGAGCCAGCAAGACAGCCAGTCAGCATATACCCACCCCCTGTGGATGGCGCCTGCACAAGGCACTTGGCCGCAGGACACTCCGCAGAGACGCGTGCGGATTGAGGGCCTCGCACAGAGAGGTGAGAGAAGAGGGCAACTCAGAGGACAATTGCGGGTGTCCCCACCGGCCTGGCCTGAGACATTTTCCACAATGAGAGCCCTCCTGGCAAGCCACCAAGCTGATCACAACATGCACCGAACCAGCCATGCCCAGGGAACCAACACGCGCGCCGGGACGGTCGCCGAGAGGGCCGCTGGGGGAGCGGCGTCTACAGCATAGCCTTATACGGAATTCCAGCGCGCGTGGGGCCCAGGAGAGTCACTTGCCAATCATATCCATAGTAGTGCAACATACAAGGCGTTCTTTGTACACCCGCCTCAGGCTCGCCTGGCAACGGCTATGCCGCGCCAGGGTCGCCGAGAAGCAATCGACCGCGCAACTTCCTTTGGTCACCTTTCTGGTCTAGGACTGAATCTGCCCACTCTTTCGGGCACCCCTGGTCCAGTCCGTCTCCAGCGATTCGGCGTGTGGTTGGCGATCCTCTTCAGGACCTGCCACAACCAACCACACGGGGCAGGCCGACGCTGTCACGAACGACACCTCTGTTTCCGACTGTGCGAAAACACCACGCGTACCTCTTGAATGCAAAGATACACTGTGTCTGGTTGTACTCTGGGACTCCCTCGTTCACACCAAAACTGCCAAAATATGTCGAGCTAGGCTCTGGGAGCCTGCTGTTTTGGCCTTCGAAGAAGGGAGGAAACAACTGGGAGAGCTGCCCGCTGACGTCCAGGCGGGCAACCCCATAAGAAGGGCCCTGGGACACACAAATAAATACACACAAATAGCAGGATTCCCAATATTTTCAAATATTTTCTGTGTTTTTGTCATCCCCCCACTTCCCATACTTTCCTTTATTTTCTGGAGAATCAACGATTGTGTCTGTGTGTGTTCCCCCCCCTTGACCATAGCACCCACAGGGGCTGAAAACCAAAGGTGTAGCCAGCGCGCCTAGGCCGCCCTGGTCGCAGCATGGAGCAAGTGCAGGCGAGCCGAGGCCGGGGAGGCGGGGCCCAACGCCAGTGGGCCAAAGCCGCAGACAACTCTAGCGCCGGCTACTTGCGCGCGCCGCAAGGTGGAACTCCCCACGCGCCGCCTGGCGGCGTGCCTGGTGGACCGTTGCCGGCGCAGGTCCGCGTGCCTGGCGGCCAGGCACGCGGACCTGCGCCGGCAACGGTGAGGAGGGGCGAGCTGGCGACGCTCTGCAGGCGCGCGGCCCGCCGGAGAGTCAGATGCGAGGGCGCCAGGCCTACGACCGCGGCGCGGCGTCTTACCGACGCCCCCCCTCCGACGCGAGCTCGGACTACCCAGGTTTCAACAAACCTCAAGGGGCCCCAGGACACACAAATAAATACACACAAATAAAAGGATTCCCCATATTTTCCCATATTTTCTGGGTTATTGTCTTCCTCCCCACTTCCCATATTTTCCCATATTTTCCCGGGAGTGGACGATTAATTGTGTCTGTGTGTTTTTTCCCCTCCTGAAAACCGAACAACATCCTGGCCGACGCGAGAGCCATGCTGGAACTGATGACGGACACCTGGGAACCAATCTTGGGGCGGCGCCGCAATGCTCGGGCCAGGGCCGACGAAGCAGTCCAACCTGGGGCGTCTTTGAAGGCGGACTGCCGCCGAGAACTCCCCGACCCAGCCCCCGTCACGCTGGTTCTCTCCGGCAAGACTCTCGTCATTTTCGTCCGCGCCCGACTCGCTGACAGAGCGGGTGGCGTCGATGGTTGGACCGCGCGCGAAGCCAAGACGCTCCCAGACGGGGCCTTACGAATGTTCACCAGAGCTCTGCGAGCAATGTAGCGCGCAAAGAGGGCGCCAGAGCCGCTCTTCCGCAGGCCGAGGCGATGTCTCCGTAAAAAAGAAGGGAGAGCATCCGACGGACCTGCGCCTGCTCTCGGTCATGTCCACGTGGCAGCGCGCATGTCCAACCGCCGGCCTGCCGCAGCCTTGCGTCATGGTAAGCGCGCTGGGCCCACCCTGCAATCTTCGGGGCGGCCCCGCGCGCCACTATCAGCTTGTTCCGCAGACCTGACACTGGGCCGCCGAGGGGGATGCCCCAACGCGGCGCCTGCCCTTCCACGGGCTCCGAGGGGTGCATGTCACAGCGTGCTGAAGGCTGGAGTCTCTTTTCAGTTCTGAATGTGCTGACGGGGTGTGCCACACCCTGAACACCACAACCTGCCAGCTTCTCGCTCCAGTCAGGGCACCTTTTTGACCGCGCTTGGGGGGGAGAATGTTTCCCACTCCTGTCATTCAAGCGACGCCTCCTGCTAATGAGGGGCTGGCATAGCAGGCGCCAGCACCCTGCGGGCCAGGAAGAATCCATCGTCCGAGTTGGTGCGCTTTCTCTTTTCGCTCTCGACTAGGTGGGGAACGGTTGAGCCGTATGGGCAGCGGCAGTGCTTCGGACGGAATCGAAGGGCAGGTGCTGGTCACTTCGTCCTTCCTTTTTCTAAGACCCTAGACCGCCCCACGGACCGAAGGCGCACAAAACACCTTCTCATCGTCCCCCCTTTGCCTCTTCTGGCCATCGCTCGGACGTCCATTCCCTGTGTTTTCTTGGTTTCGTGCGTGGTTTTTCCGCAGGATGATCCAGGATGCTCCTCAATGACCCCCACCGAGAAAAAGTGCACACGTCCGAGCGATACCAAGTCTTTCCCCTGCCTCTCTGAGCCACCCTGCCTGGCAGCACCAGCGGCAGCCGGGGCACACGATGCCGCACGCCCTCGAGCCGCTGCTCAGGGGCTGGCGGGCCAGCGCCGCGATCTCCTCGACGACCTCGGGCGGTGCAGGGGGGGGGAGGAGGGAGGACATGGGGGATGGCTGAGGGAGGAGGGAGCCGCGGGAGGAGACAGGACAGGAGGACGGGAGCAAGAATGCGAGAGAGGCACTTCAAAATCCCATCGGGGCAACCTACTCCTCCTCCTCCGCCTCCTGCTCTTCCTCCTCCTCCTGCTCCTCCTCCTCCTCCTCCTCCTCATCCTCCTCCTCCTCCCCCTCCTCCTCCTCCCCCTCCTCCTCCTCCGCCTCCTCCTAGGAGCTCCTCCTCCGCCAGCGAGGTGCCAGACGGCGTGGGGGCCAGGGGGGGCAGGAGACAGAGGCGGCCGGCAGGAGCGGGGCTGGCCGCGGGGGAACGGCGAGCTGGCTGCCGCGAGCAGCGAGTCGAGGCACCGGAGCGGAGGAGCGGGCGGACAGACATGGGGGCGAGCTCCCGCTCAGGGTCGAGGAGGGCGTGAGCAAGTGAGGCGGGAGGAGGAGGAGGAGGAGGAGGAGGAGGAGGAGGAGGAGGAGGAGGAGGAGGAGGAGGAGGAGGAGGAGGAGAGGAGTGAGTGAGGGGACCAGGAGAAGCAGAGCATCACCAAGCAGGAAAATAAGGCCGTAAACAAACAGAGCATGAGTAGTAGTACCATCACCTGTCATCTCATCTACGCGCTACCATGCAAGCGGTAAGGTGTTGGATTTGCATGTCGTTCAACAACGCACATCCGCCATGAGAGCAAGGAAAAACAAGGGAGAGTCAGGAGTCTCCAGAGCTCCCCGGAGGCTCGATCGAGGACTCTGGTGGCTTTCAGGAGCCCCTGGAGGCCCGAGGAGGGCCAATCACACCCAATGCGAATGCGAATGCGGCACAATCGGTCTGTCGACCGCGGGAAGAACCCTGCACCTACCCCTGCTCAGTACATCATGAGTTGTGAAACTTCTCTTTGTGGACGTAGCTATGCATTGCAACTGCGGCGGACGAGATCGTTCAACATGCTGTTCCATCGACGGCTGTCTGCGGCAACCGTCGTCCATGGCTCGCCGGTGTTCTCGAACAGCTTGCGCAATTGTGTCTCCCACCTCCAAGGACGGAATTTCCGGCAGTGCAATTGGCTACCTTTGTGTGCAGCCATGATTTTCTGCAACCAAGCCCAATCTTTGTACCTCATCACCTGGTAGCTCAACCTGTTCGGGTCGTTGTTGCCGGCTCTCTGCAAATATCCTGCCCATTTGAATACTGCCCGAAAGTATTGCGCATCCCATTTCTCGATCTTTGCACTGGACAGCGCCATCCGCACCCTCCTATTTGTCCTGGAGAAGAAGTTGTCGCGAAGTTCGCCAGGCCATCGTTTAAGCCCCAGCATTTTGCGCACCATTGACTGTTGAGCGCCTCGTAGCTGAGATTGCTGGGCCTGCGTGAGTGTCCAACTTCCCGAACACCAAAACAGAGTGCTCTCGACCAGTATCTGCAGCAAGTGGAACCTTCTTGCCAGAGGTGCCCTGTGGCAGCACAGAATGTTCTTATGCTTGAAGAATGAGCGCCAAGCTTTATCTATGCGCGAAGTGAGTTCCACAGAAAAACAATTATTGAACGTGATCTGGGCACCCAATGCCTTGAAACCCATGTTCCGCGAGGCTCTTGATATATCCCAGCCGTGTGCGTGGACTCGATAAGGTTGGGTATCTTCGGCGGTTGTGCACCAAGTTGCTTCTTCGAGCGGCACGTACCACCCGTCATCTGATAGAAGAGTCAACCATTTTTCTGTCATGGTCAGACGAGCGGGGGGCAATTTTGTGTGTACACATAAATTCCCTACCTAGGCTCTGCCTAGAAGGGTTCTTACTATGTTAGCTTAAAGGGGCCGGGCAGTGCAACACGCCCCGGGCGGTTCCCCCAGTCCCCGCCCCGCGGTTCCCCCAGTCCCCTGGGAGCCTTAGCTTTAGCTTTAGCTTTAGCTTAGCTTTAGCTTAGCTTTAACTTAACTTTAGCTTAGCTTTAGCTTAGCTTTAGCTTAGCTTTAGCTTAGCTTTAGCTTAGCTTTAGCCTAGCTCTAGCTTGGCTTTAGCTTAGCTTTAGTTTAGCGTTGACTTAGCTTTAGCTTAGCTTCAGCTTAGCGTTAGCTTAGCGTTAGCTTAGCTTTAGCTTAGCTTTAGCTTAGCTTCAGCTTAGATGTAGCTTTATCTCTAGCTTTAGCTTAGCTTTAGCTTCGCTTTAGCTTAGCTGTAGCTCAGCTGTAGCTCAGCGTTAGCTTAGCTTTAGCTTAGCTTTAGCCTAGCTTTAGCTTAGCTTTAGCTGAGCTTTAGCTGAGCTTTAGCTTAGCTTTAGCTTAGCTTTAGCTTAGCTGTAGCTTAGCTGTAGCTTAGCTTTAGCTTAGTTTTAGCTTAGCTTTACTGTTACTACTAATGCTGCTTTCCTAGGGGCTCCAACTCCTAGGTAGGGTCGCACTGTGATGATTTGTATATTTTTATACATACATACATATATATACATATATATACATATATATATATATTAGTTTTACATGTACAGATATGTGTATATGTATTTCTATATATCTATAGACATACATACATATATATATATATAGATGTGTATATATTTGTATACATATACATATATAGATCGATAATCTCAAACGCTAGTCTTCCTCAGATCTTTGAAAGGGGGGAAGAGTTAAAGTGGGCTGGCGAGATTACTCCTTATACTTCTTAACGAAAAAAAGGGAGGGGTAGTGAAAGTGGGCTGACGAATCAGCGCACGCGCCTGACTCTCCCAGCGCGTCCCCGCGACGCAGGCGCCAGCGCATGGAGGCAAGCGCCCCGCGGCGGAGCCGAAGCCAGCTGCACGTCGCAGGCTTTCGTACCCCTCGCTTTCGAAATTACCTCGGCGGCGCGCCAAGGGGGGCACGGCAGGGGGGACCAGGAGGAGGAGGAGGAGGAGGAGGAGGAGGAGGAGGCGGAGGCGGAGGCGGAGGAGGCGCAGGAGGAACAGGAGGGAGCAGGAGGAGGGAGGGAGGGAGGAGGAAGGGAGAAGGAGCGGAGGAGGAGGAGGAGGAGGAGGAGGAGGAGGAGGAGGAGGAGAAGAAAAAAAGGGGGGAGGAGGAGGAGGAGGAGGAGGAGGAGGAGGAGGAGGAGGAGGAGGAGAAGGAGGAGGAGGAGGAGGAGGAGGAGCCTTCTGAGAAGGCTTTGTGGCTTCTCAGAAACCCTCGCGCCTTCTGGGAAAAAGGCCTCCTATAAAAACCTTCCCCGGCCCCACGGGCGCCTCCTCAGAAGGCGGGAGGGCATCCGAGAAACCACGCCGCCTTCTGGCAAGGCGGCCGGCCCGCCCTGCCTCCCCTCACGGGCGTACCGCCCACTATCCCACCCTTCCGTCCGACCCGAGAGATGAGGGGCAACGTGACCACCTGCCAGACCGCCCCAACCCAACCCAAAGACCCGAATTTCGGGTGGGGGGGGGGGGGGGGTAGGGGCTCCACATGTGTTTTTCTCGATGTTCCCGGACCCCCCCCCACTGGAAAGGGAGGGCAAATTGAGGCCTTCGGGTTGGGTTGGGGTGGTTTGGTGGGTGGTGGCAAGTCGGGGATGGACAGCACCCCCTTTAGTAAAACGTGGATTAGTGAAAACGACCCCGGGCCCAAACCTGGCGGGCGCAAGCCTGGAAAATAACGGCCGCGGCGCCCTCTCGAGAACCGAAGACGGACAATTCACTAATCGACGTGTCAGGGTGGGGGTTCTGTCCACCCCCGAGGTAGCAGGGACTGGCCCAGGAGGGAAGCCTCGGCCTGGAGTCCGCGAGGCGTCCCCGACGGATCGGCGACGGGCGCCGCCGAGGACTTTCGGCAGAGCCGCGCGCCGCTGGGCGAAGGTGGGGCTGCGGGGCCCCCATGTCGGCGATCCATGGGGGCGACGAGGCGTGGCTCCGGAGCCGCATGCCCGCCTCGCGCGCTGTCTCTGAGGGAGCCGCCCGGGCCCCTCAGAGTGCCCCGACCTGGGGTACACAGGATTGCAAAAAAAACCGAAGGATTGCAACAAAAACCCTTCGACGAAGAATTGCAAAAAAACCTTCGCTTGAACGAAGGATTGCAACAAAAACCTGGGCGAAGGATTGCAAAAAAACCTGTTTTTTTTGCAATCCTGGTTTTTTTTGCAATCCTTCGTTGCAATCCTTCGTGCCACACATAGGGGAGCACCAAGCATTCACCAGCACCGATCCTGGCCAGGATCGGTGTTGGTGTATGGCTGGTACCCTCCGAACGAGCCCCCCCTGCCCCCTCCCCAGAAACCCCCCTCGCAGCCCCCGCCGACGAGCTCCCAAGATCCTCGTACGGTGGGCTCACGTCGCGCCGTCGGCGACTGTTTCTGACACCGAGGGGGCTGTTCAACCTGGAACGATCGCGGCTTCCCGATAGCGCAGATCGCTCGACATTGGCCGATTCTGGACAACTGGTGGCATTCAACCTTGAACGCCTGAAGAGGGGGAGAAGACCTTTTGCAGACGCCGCCGCGCGGATGGCCTCTGAGAAGCCCCGCTGCCGTCTGGAAGGCTGGCCGGCTCCCTCAACCTTCCAGAACTCCTGCTGCAAGAAATCTAGGGGCACATCCTTCGTCGGGTCTGCGCTTCGCAAGGTGCCCCAGGGCGCGGCGGGCTCAAACGGAGACCAGGTTGGAAGGCTAGCTCATTACCTGACGCGCCTGCTGCATCCGCCCTTGAGTCCGGCCCTTGGGGGGGGGAGACCAGGACCACTTTTGCAGACGCCGCCGCGCGTTTGGACGCCCGAAATGGGTACGGAAAATTTGGCACAATGCCGAACAACAAATGTTGTCCCAAACCATCAGAGGCCGCTGTTGGGCAGACGGCCTTCTGACTTAAATGGACGCAGGCCGCGGTGGCGCGGACAGCGAGTCTGGTGCAAAATGAAGAGAAACTGTTGTTGGGCCTTGTGCCCATCCTTTCCGTACCAATTTCTTTCGTGCCGAGCCACTTTTGCAGACGCCGCCGCGCGGTGGGCTGGCGGCTGTCCACGGAGGCCGAGAGGCGCGGTGCGCGCATCGGGCCGGGTGAAAGGATAGCAAAAGGGGGGGGTGAGAATCAGCTCACGTAGCTGATTTCCCGGCGCCTCCCATCGCCGGAGGCGGCCATGTATCGAATGGGCCCGGCGGCGGGGCCGAAACCAGCTGCATGCAGCAGATTTCGTCCCCCCCCCTTTCCCAATCCCCCCCTTTCGTCCGGCCCGAACCTTGGGCCACGGCCGTCTCCGACGACGCCGGGCGTGGAGCGGCGTGGGTCGGGCCGGGGCGAGACTCGCTCTTCGCTCGGACGCCCATTCCCCGTGCCTTTTGTCGACGTCGTGCGTTGCTTTGGCTCGTAAGATGATCGAAGATGCTCCTCGAGGGCCCCCGCCGAGCACAAAAGTGCACACGGTCCGAGCGACGCCAAGGCGAGAAGGGGCGGGGCTGGCCACGGGAAGGGCGGGGGCCCCCGAGCCGTCCACGGAGGCCGACGGGGCGCGGTGCGCGCAGCACCGCAGCCGCGGGCGCGCGCGGCGCCCGCGCGGCCCCGCAGCGCCGCTCCACGGGCGTCAGAGCACGGTGTGCCCGCGCACGGCCCTCACCCACTCGTCCCGCCCGGCCACGTGCACCTCGTACCGGGGGCGGTCCTGAGAGGATCTCCTCCTCCTCCTCCTCCTCCTCCTCCTCCTCCTCCTCCTCCTCATCATCATCATCATCATCATCATCATCATCATCATCTTCTCCTTCTTCTCCTCCTCCCTCTCCTCCTCCCTCCTCCTCTTCCTCTCCTCCTCCTCCTCCTCCTCCTCCTCCTTCCTCCTCCTGCTTCTTCTCCCTCACCCCACACTCCACCTCCACCTTCTGCCCCCCACCTCCCCCTCCCTCCCTCCTCCTCGTGCTCCTCCTTCCTACTCCTCCTCCTCGCCTCCTCCCTCCTCCTCCTCATCCGCCGCTCCTCTCTCCTTCCTCCCCCTCCTCCTCCTGCTTCTCCTCTCAAAGAGGTGCCCCTAGGATTCTTGGGGAGGCCCCCGGGCCCCTCCCTCCTCCCTCCCCATTCTCCTCCTCCCCCCAGGACCCCGTGGTCGCATTCTGGCTCCCAGGGGGCGCGCGAAGGTCGTGCACTCATGCTCCCCCTCCGAAGGTCGTGCGCTCCTCCTCCCTCCTCCGCCCTCCTTCGCTCCTTCGCTCCCTCGCTCCCTCGCTCCTCCTCCTCCTCCCTTCCTCCTCCTCCTCCTCCTCCTCCTCCTCCTCCTCCTCCTCCTCCTCCTCCTCCCAAAACGGTGCCCCCAGGATCCCCGGGGAGGCCCCCAGGCCCTCGCTCGAGCACTTTATCCAGAGGCCGCGAGGGCCCTCGGGGGCCCGAGTCGGCGCGAGAAGCGGTGGGGGCACCTTTCGGGCCGGGCGAAAGGGGGGGATAGCAAAGGGGGGTTTGAGAATCAGCTCACGTAGCTGATTTCCCGGCGCCTCCCGGCGCCGGAGGCGGCCATGTATCGAATGGGCCCGGCGGCGGGGCCGAAACCAGCTGCATGCAGCAGATTTCGTCCCCCCTCCCTTTCCCAATCCCCCCCTTTCGTCCGGCCCGAAGCTTGGGCCACGGCCGTCTCCGACGACGCCCGGCGTGGAGCGGCGTGGGTCAGGCCGGGGCGACACTCGCTTTTCGCTCGGACCTCCATTCCCGGTGCATTTTGTCGACGTCGTGCGCGTGGATCGGCGTGGGTCGGGCCTGGGCGAAACTTGCCTTTCGCTCGGACGTCCATTCCCCGTTCAGTTTGTCGACGTCGTGCGCTTCTGTTGATCGCAGGATGGTCGAAGATGCTCCTCGATGGTTCGCTCGCCGAGAAGAACTGCACACGTCCGAGCGATGCCAAGGCGAAAAAGGACGGGTCTGGCCACGGGAAGGGCGGAGGCCTGCTGCGTGCAGCCGGCGTGCTCGGGCGCTCCGGGGCAACGGGAGCGACCACCCTCGGAGGCGACGACGGGGGCGAATAGCCCAGGGGGGAGCAGGTGCACGTGTCTTGCGACGCAGCGCGGGCGCGGCAGCAGAGGGCCCCTCAAGCGCGACAGCTGGGGCGCAAAGCAAACCCAAACCCGTGGCGACAGCCGAGAGGTTCCATGCACACCGCAGTCGGACCTGCCTGGAGAGGACACGCGAGAGGACACGGGACCCTTCCGAGGGCCACGCTGCCGCAGGAGGGGGAGGGGGAGGAGGAGGAGGAGGAGGAGGAGGAGGAGGAGGAGGAGGAGGAGGAGGAGGAGGAGGAGGAGGAGGAGGGGAAGAGGAGGAGAAGGAGGAGGAGGAGGAGGAGGAGGACGAGGACGACGGACGACGACGACGACGTGGCTTTGGCGAGGGCCCGGGCAAATGGGTGCAGTGCCCGCCCCATGGGCGCTCGCGCCGCCGTCGCCGCCAGCGCCCCACCCAGGACGCTCTGGCCTGCCGGGCCCTATAGTCTTAAGTCGGGCCTGTCCCCCTACAGGAGGATTTTTGGAGGACAGACAGAGAGTAGCCCAACAAATGTATACACAAACATTGCCAACAAAAATACCCCCAACATCGTCCCCAGACTTTTTTAAAACTTATGTTTGGAATGTTCCCCCTGTAGAGGGACAGGCCCGACTAAACCCTACTCAAGGCCCTCGGATCGGGAGCTCTGGCGCGCCCGAGAAAACTGCAGCCGTGGATCGAAGCCTTCTCCATCCGGCGTCACCGCAGAACAATCGAGACGGCGGACTTGGGCACATGGCGGCCTGGCTCGGGCTCCTGGTAGGGAATCGAACTCTATACACCGAGGCTTCTGGGGGCCCTGCGTTGGAATTTGCATTGGATTGGGGAGCGGATCCTCGTGTATACGGGACCCTGGTGTATACATTTTTCGTTGTTTCCCTGGGACATCGGGAAAACAAGTATACACCACACCACCCCGGCGTCGTCCCCGACCTTCAAGAAGTCCGGGGATTGAAAAACAGCCCGCCGCTGGCAATGTATATGTTCAAGTTTCCGACCTGGAGCCGCAGCATGCGATCTGCAGCGAACGGGTCCGTCCAGAGCGGAGCCCGGGCCGCCCGGCAAGGCGGACGTGCACCTCGCTCAGATGAGAAGATGCCGGTAACCGCTGCCCTGCCCTCGTCGCCGCGGCTGGGCTCGCCCCCAGGGTCCTTGCCCCAAGTCGGACGTGTCCCCATACAGGGGCATTGTCAACAAAAATCGTCCCCCGACCATTGCTTGACTATTTTTGGATATCCCTCCTGTGGAGGGACGGGCCCGACCTAAGCCTTGCCAGAGCGCGCCCTTGGGGACGGCCGCGGAGCAGCGCCAGCTCGGCGCCCTCCTCTTGGGCCCCCCCCGGGGGCCGCAGCAAGCGCGGGCCGCCGAGCGGGGCCCGTGCCAGAGGGTGCGTGCCCGTGGCCCCGCGGATGGGAGAAGCTCAAAAGCCGCACTCTATACGCCGACACCGTTTCCGGCCCCGCACTTTTTTGCATTCCTCCGGCCCCGCACTTGAACGAGGGTTTTTTTGCAATCCTTCGAAGGTTTTTTTTGCAATCCTTCGTTTTTTTGCAATCCTTGTTTTTTTTTGCAATCCTTCGATCAGTGCGGGATCCTGGTGCATACATTCTTCGTTGTTTCCCCAGGAACACGGGGAAACAAGCATGCACCACACCACCCCGACGTCGTCCCCGACCCTCCAAAAAGTCCTGGGATTGGAAAGCCGCCCGCCACTGGCAAGGTATATGCTCCAGTTCCCGAGAAGCTGCGGCAGCGGAGGCCTGGGAAAGGAGCGCACTTCACCACCACCGCCAGCTGTGGAATGCAGTGCAGTCGGCCTTGACTGGACAGGACACGCGAGAGGACAGAAGACCCTTGCGGGGGCCACGTTACCACAGAAATGTAGCAGGCATGGGTCGCAAGACTCAGGACAGGGTACCCTTGATCTGGAAGGTCGACCTACTAATCACGGCCGCCTGTAGCGCGTCAGACTTCTCGACCTAACAAATCAAGGGGCGCGTTCTTCGTTGGTGCCTGGGCTAGCCGGGGTGTCCCAGGGTTTCTGTGGGTCTCCGGATCCGTCGTGGGATAAGAAATTTCCGAGAGGCACCTGCTGGCACGCTGGTTCCTCATTTGGCGCACCTACCGGGCAATATTTTGAGGCTTGCCAGGCGCAAATCGGCCAAATGCAAGAAAACGCGCCCAAAAAGGCTTACACCGGCACCAGGCCGTCCCCTAGCTTACCCCGCTCCAGAGAATGACGGTGGTGATCATTCGCCCAGAGTCCTCGCTGTACTTGTTGAACTCTGCGACGCGCCGAATGTCCTCCGCTGTGACTGGTGTGCGGCCGTGGGACAACATCTGGATCAAGGTCCGCATAGCCAGCCAACCGTTTGGGGACATGTCTTCGTGGTCAGTGTGTCTCAGGAGCTTTGCCATTCCCTTCGACAGACTCAATGAGAAAGGCTCGCCGTTCGATTCGCGCCGCCACGGTGCTCGTCGTAGGCTCCGCTCCCGCCTTGGCAGGTCTTGGTGCCGCCTGGCTGGCATGTCTTCGTCCGACATGTGAGCGCTCGATGGCCTGCTTGATGCCCTACGCACATCTGTGTGGCCCCTGGTACTTCGGATGAGGTGGCCAGATGGAGTCTCCCGGAGCTCGAAGCGTGCCCCGTCCCTGCCGTGGACGCTCCAACTCACGAGATTGCGCACGTCCTGAAACGTGTAATTCTCGAAGTGCTCCAGCAACTGCAGGACGCGAACGAAGCCGCCGTCCTCGACAGCCAGGCCCATCTTGGCCGCGTCGTACCGGAGTACGCGGCTGAACGCCCTGGACATGTGATCCATGTCCCTCTCGGTCATCCTGCGCTGATGCGGGCTTCTGCTGCGGCGGTGCTGGTCGTCGTGCCCTCCGCGGCCTCACGCAAGAGTGGCCCTAGGCAGGAGTGGCCTTCCGTGCGCATCTTTAAGGGGGCCGACGGGGTACCAAATCCAATAAGCGCGCAGGCCGGCGATGGGAAAACTCTCTGTGGGCCCGTCGGGCAAGCTCTAACAAAGGCCAACGCCAGGGACACGTCGCAAGCCCCAGCCGCCGCATAGCAGCTTCCAGACCCAGGTCAGCGGAGGGAGGTGAAGCTGGCTCGGCCCCGTGTGGCTCCAAGACCCGCCACGAACGGTGAGCATATCCGTATCCAAGCCTTCGCGGTCTGGATTCCAGGACGCGACCCCGTGGATACGCGACATCATGGATACAGAGGAGGACAGTCCTCCAGAAACCTTCCACAAGAAACCCAATCCTGAGGCTCCAAGGACAAAACAAAATTTCCTACCCCCCCACCCCGGTCCCGGCAACCCGTGGCACTAACATGTGGCCGACGGCGCACAGATGCCCATGGTGAAGGCGGCGAACACCTTGATGATGATGATGATGATGATGATGATGATGATGATGATGGTGATGGTGATGATGATAATGATAATGATGATGATGATGATGATGATGATGATGATGATGATGATGATGATGATGATGATGGTGATGATGATGATAATGATATTGATAACGATAATGATGATGATGATGGTGGTGGTGATGATGATGATGCTGCTGCTGATGATGATGATGATGCTGCTGATGATGATGATGATGATGATGATGATGATGATGATGATGCTGAAACTGATGATAGGGGAGGACAGGTCGGAAGGAGGAAGGGGATGCGGGAAACAGGGAACGAGGAGGGAGGTGCGAGGACGGATGGTGCGAGAACGGGAAGGGGCGGGGGGAAGAGTAGGAGGGAAGGAAGGACGGAAGCAGGGTGAAAGAGGGGGCGGAGGAGCATATAAGGGACGAGGGGAAGATGATAAGAGAGGAGGGAGACAGGAGGAGGAGGGACGAGGGAAAAGTGGAGAGCGAAGAGGGAGGGGGGTGCGGGGCCGGGAATAAGACCGATCACGACCACTTCGGACTGTTCAAGAACTACTTCGGTCGGATTGCAACCACTGGAAACGGACTGATCGCAACCTGTAGGATTCCTATACAAACCTGTCAGGAAAACACCGGATTGCAACCGATCCAAGAGCTCCTGCTGAGGCCTCTGAAAGGCTTCTCTGAGGCCTCTGAAAGGCTTCTCTAAAGCCTCTGAAAAAAAGAGAGGCTTCTCTGAGGCCTCTGAAAAGGCTTCTCTGAGGCTTTTGAAAAAGGCCTCTGAGGCCTCTGACAAAGGCTTCTCTGAGGCCTCTGCGAGGATTCTCTGAAGCCTCTGCGAGGCTTGGCTTGTGGGAGGCTTCTGCGAGGCTTGTGGAAGGCTTATGAGAGGCTTGTGAGAAGCTTCTGAGAGGCTTGTGGGAGGCTTCTGAGAGGCTTGTGGGAGGCTTATGAGAGGCTTCTGAAAGGCTTGTGGGAGGCTTCTGAAAAAGGCTTCTGAGAAGCTTGTGGGAGGCTTCTAATAGGCTTCTGGGAGGCTTCTAAGAGGCTTCTGAGAAGCTTCTGCGTGGCTTCGGCGAGGCTTCTGAGAGTCTGAAAGGCTTCTGAAAAAAGGCTTCTGCGAGGCCTCTGAGAGGCTTGTGGGAGGCTTCCGAGAGGCTTCTGGGAGGCCTGCCCCGCAGGCCCCACAAGTCCCACAGGTCCTGAGTGTCGCACGGGCGCCAAAGGTCTCGCAGGCCGCGCAGGGCGCACACGTCCCCCAGCCATGGTTCCCACAATCACCACAGGCCCAGACCGCCTGGCGTCGTGACAACATCTGTTTTTGTTTCGGGTTGGGGGGCCATCGCCGGGCCCAGGGGCCGTCCAAAAGTGACTCAGTATGCAATGCTGGTCTACTGTAGGTTCATGCGGCGTTGGCGCGCCGGCGACGTTGGCGAAGGCGTTCAAGGCTGCATTTTGCGACGCGGAAGCACCGAGGGACACGTTGGGCCCACTGTACCAGACAAAAGTCAACGTTGAAAGATCGGGGCCGCGACCGATTCAAGGTTGAACGATCCGCGCGGTGCCGATAGCCTTGCGGGTGCCGACGCCGCGCGAACCTACCGTAGGGGAATTCGTCCAGACCTCTGGGGGTCGACGTCCTGGAAAAGGCATGACGTTGGGGGTTTTGGCCGCCGCGGACACCCGACTTGCCATCCTGTCCTCTTCCGTTTCCCCCCCGTCCTCCTCCCCCCCTCCTCCTCCTCCTCCTCCTCCTCCTCCTCCTCCTCCTCCTCCTCCTGCTCCTGCTCCTCCTGCTCCTGTCCTTCCTCCCACCCCTCCTCCTTCTCCCTTCCTCCTCCCCCCTCCTCCTCTGCCTCCTCTTCCTCATCCACCTCCTCCCTCCTCCTCCTCTCCTCTCCTCCTCCTCCTCCTCCTCCTCCTCCTCCTCTCCACCTCCTCTCCTCCTCCTCCTCCTCCTCCTCTCCTCCTCCTCCTCCTCCTCCTCCTCCTCCTCCTCCTCCTCCCCCCTCCTCCTCCTCCTCCTCCTCCTCCTCCTCCTTCTGGGATGCAATTTGTTTCACGCCACGCGTTTTCGTTCAATTTCGGTTTCAACCGTGCACGAATCACATAGGAATCGTATACGGATCATGGCCACGTTCGAGCTCCAATACATGTGTTTAGCTGAGATCCTGATCGGCCGTCTGTGATCGGACCGATCGCAACCACTTTTTCCCAACCCTCCTTGGTTGGGTATTCGTTTTGAATAGAGCACTGTGGTCGCGTCCCTCCATCTCCTCCCGCCTCCTCCCTCCCGCCTCCTGTCTCCCGCGAGATCTCGCCGTCCCTGGGGGGGGGGGGGCTGCGATCTGCGAAGCTGTCGCCACGTTCGAGGGCTGCTGGTGGGCCCAGCGGAGTGAGGCACCGCGCGGATCTGAGCGAGACCTCGCCGTCCATGGAGGGGGTGCTGCGATCTGCGAAACTGTCGCCACTTTCGAGGGCTGCTGGTGGGTCCAGCGGAGTGAGGCACCGCGCAGATTTGAGCGAAACCTCGCCGTCCCTGGGGGGCTGCGATCTGCGAAACTGTCGCCACTTTCGAGGGCTGCTGGTGGGTCCAGCGGAGTGAGGCACCGCGCAGATCTGAGCGAGACCTCGCCGTCCCTGGGGGGGCTGCGATCTGCGACACTGCCGCCACTTTCGAAGGCCGCTGGTGGGTCCAGCGGAGTGAGGCACCGCGCAGATCCGAGCGAAACCTCGCCGCCCCTGGGGGGCTGCGATCTGCGAAGTTGTCGCCACTTTCGAGGGCGGCTGGTGGGTCCAGCGGAGTGAGGCACCGCGCAGATCTGAGCGAGACCTCGCCGTCCATGGAGGGGGGGCTGCGATCTGTGAAACTGAAGCCACTTTCGAAGGCTGCTGGTGGGTCCAGCGGAGTGAGGCACTGCGCAGATCTGAGCGAGACCTCGCCGTCCCTGGGGGGCTGCGATCTGCGAAGCTGTCGCCACTTTCGAGGGCTGCTGGTGGGTCCAGCAGCGGAGTGAGGCACCGCGCAGATCCGAGCGAAACCTCGCCGGCCCTGGGGGGGAGGGCTGCGATCTGCGAAATTGTCGCCACTTTCGAGGGCTGCTGGTGGGTCCAGCGGAGTGAGGCACTGCGCAGATCTGAGCGAGACATCGCCGTCCTTGGGGGGCTGCGATCTGCGACACTGTCGCCGCTTTCGAAGGCTGCTGGTGGGTCCAGCGGAATGAGGCGCCGCGCAGATCTGAGCGAGACCTCGCCGTCCCTGGGGGGCTGCGATCTGCGAAACTGTCGCCACTTTCGAGGGCTGCTGGTGGGTCCAGTGGAGGAAAGCACCGCGCGGATCTGAGCGAGACCTCGCGGTCCCTGTCGCCACTTTCGAAGGCCGCTGGTGGGCCCAGCGGAGCGAGGCACCGCGCAGATTTGAGCGAAACCTCGCTGTCCCTGGGGGGGGGGAGGGGGGGCTGCGATCTGCGAAACTGTGGCCACTTTTGAAGGCTGCTGGTAGGTCCAGCGGATTGAGGCGCGGTGCAGATCCGAGCGGGACCTCGCCGTCCGGTGGGGGGCTGCGATCTGCGAAACTGTCGCCACTTTCGAAGGCTGCTGGCGGGGGATGAGGGGTGACGAGAAGGGGGAAGAAGAGAGACGACGGGGAGGACGAGGATGGGGGGGGATGGTGAGGGGTGATGAGATGACATGATGAAGGGCACTGGGATGACATGGCGAGGGCCCCTAGGCCGCCCTGGAAACACTTTGGATTCCCTGAGCCGTAGACGGGGTGGGGAGTATGCTATTCTGTAGTGAAGGGAGTCCACTGATTTTTGGCTTTGGCACGTCACGCTTTGCATAGCAACCATCGAAATCTAAGAAACCCAAGGATCTCTGGAGGCAAGCAACATGTTTCTTGGCATGGGCCCCCACTGTACGCTCCGCGCGGGGCAGCCGCAACAGAAACGCCCCGCATTCACGGGGTCGCGGCCCAAGGGCCTGGCCCGCGAGGCCATCAGCCCACGAGCCCGGGCGAGCCAGAGGGGATCGACTCAGCCTCCCTCGGCGCCGAACCCTGCTGCGTGCTCCCAGAAGAGCCACTTCGGCACAAGGATCGCTCGTAGAGGCCTCTTGCACGGTGTCCGAGCAGATGGGGTCGGAGGATCGCGCCGCATCGCCAGTGCGTCGCCGAGGCATCTGGCTCAGTCCTTCACCCCGGACCCGCCGTTCACGGTCTCCATAGCGGCCCTATGGAAATGGCCCGTTGCGCGCCCCGGGGCGGCGCCTGGTGGTGCTCGTTTCCATAGGGCCCTAAGGAAATGGCGCATGCGCCCCCAGGGATGAGCCTGGACCCCCCGTGGTCCCCGTTTCCATATGGGCTCGATGGAAATGACGTATGGCACCCCTGGGGCGGTCCTTGGGCGGCGACTGGGCCCCCCCGCGGCCCTCGTTTCCACAGCGGCCCTATGGAAAGAGCGCGCGGCGCCCCGGGGGGGAGGGGCACGTGGACCCCGTTGGCCCCTGTTTCCATAGCAGACCAATGAAAACTGCGCAGGGCGCCCCGTGACGGCCCCTGGACCCCCTGGTGGTCCATGTATCCGCTGACCCCTTGGGGTTTATCGGCGTGTGAGATGCTTCCCCCTCCCCCCAAACCCTCCCCCAGGAGCCTGTGCTCCGGAAGTTCTGCTGGGGGGGGCATCGAGGGCTTCAAACCGGGCCACGAGAGCCCCAAGAGACCTCCGAGACGATACAAGAGGGCCCCGAGTCGCTGAAACATCGCCCCAAGACGCCCAAGACCCAAGACGGCCTCCAGACGGCCCAAGATGCTTCCAAAACGCCCCAAGAGGCTTCGAAGAGACCCCCCAAGAGGGCCCCAAGAGGCCAAAATCGTTGA